GCACATGACACGCAGGTGCTAACATACTGTGCTACTAAAGAAGCTTCTTTTCCTCACCCACCAGCTGGAAAGTACTACTTGGTTGACTCGGGTTATCCAACTAGAGAAGGTTACTTGGGTCCTCATCGTTCAACCAGATACCATTTGGATCTGTTTAATAGAGGAGGTCCACCGTCAAACACTAGAGAATTCTTCAACCACAGGCATTCCAGTTTGAGATCAATCATTGAGAGGACTTTCGGTATGTGGAAAGCCAAATGGAGAGTTTTAGACAGAAAACATCCCAAGTATGAGCTGAAGAAATGGATAAAGATTGTGACAGCCACAATGGCCCTCCACAACTTCATTCGAGATTCACAGTGGGAAGATAGTGACGTTTCACATTGGGAAGGAGCGGAAGCATATGAACAACATGGTGATCAAGAACAAGAGCATGTTCGATACATGCCGACGACCGACAGAGTGATGGAGAGTATGCGCCACTGTATTACTATGGAGATGTCAAGAGGAACAAGACTTCCCTACTAGGAAAATATATGGCGAGGTACTTCACATATATTTACGATTATTTGAAGATTATAATGAAAGATAGTTATCAATAATTGAGTTCTCATTGCATATTTTGTCACAGATTCACAGTGTTTAGTTGTTACTGTGGTTAGTAATATGTCTATATCGCTTGCATAGCTTAGCTACGGTTAAGAATCGAACCTTTTTCAGTTTTTGTTTCTGGTTGCTTGAATTGATTGCACGTTGTATTAAAATCGAACCTTAGGGATATTCAGTCTGTTATTTGAGGCTTCTGTTGTCCTTCCCTAAAATGTATCGGTTCAGTGAACTTACAAGTTTACTTCTGTGGCAGATCTACAAGGCTCGGAGGAATGTGGTTTTATGTGCGGCTGGGATCCTTCTCTACTGGTACATCATTAACTTTCACAGACCTCACACTTTCACACTTATGTAATTGAATTGACTTATATACTCTCTAGTAATCATTATAATCTTCAAATAATGCTATTCTTGTTAGCTGTATAAGGCGCTTGTTAGCTGTATTAGGCGCTTGTTAGTTGTATTCTTGTACATGAGTTGCTTGTGGACAGGGCTATTGCTATTCTTGTTAGCTGTATTAGGCGCTTGCTCCTTTATCAATCGGTTTACCTTTGTATTGTTTCCTTTACATGTGCTTAGCTTGTTATTGTACAACCGTAAAGTAGTTCTTATAAGCTGAAAATGCATTTTTATGGCAGGTTGAACCTTAGGAAAGCTTGGAGTGTGGGAGGTCTTACTTATAACATTGTTTTTCACCTATTGTAGAAGTTACTTGGACCGCAAGCCATCTTTTAAATTTCAGTTTTATAAGACTTGAGTTTCTACTTTGAATGTTTAGAAGTTTATTCAAATTTGAGTTTTCACTTTGAGTTTTCTTAGAATCTATAAATTTTAATGCAATTTAAATAAATGAGTGAATGAATATATAATTTTTTATAAATTTATGTGAAATAAAAAATTATAAATTTATATGAAATAAAATTTTATAAATGTAAAATGAGAATTTTAAAATAGTTTTAGTGTAAATATATTTTAGACTAAATAATATTCATTAGTAAAGTTAAAATTAATACCAAACATGTGATTAAATCAATATAAGGGTACATTTGTAATTTGTTTATCAAACTCATTTGAATGGAAATAAAAAACAAGAAACAAACATAAACTTCATTCAAATGGTTCATTTAAATGATTCATTTTGATGGAGAAACGAACAACCCTTAAATTGGAACTGAACCATTTGGATGGATCACATAGATGGATCAGCTGAATGGAGATTACAAATGGACAAACGAACATGGCCAAACTTCTCTTTAATAATTTAGGTACACCGTGTTCTCAAACCAGAGGAAATATATATAGGTTATCTAGAACTGATTATGGTTGCACCTCCACATCTTCTAAGTAAAGAGGCTTGGAGAAAACAGAAAAATTGATCTTGCTGACCTGAACAGCTATGTTCTAAACTCTTCACCACAAGTAAGTTCACTAAATTCGTAGTCAAGATAAATGTTTGACCTTAAATAATGACGCCCGCTTGCTTATAACTATCAAACTATTGTGGACCCTGTAGACTGCAAAGTTTCTTTGCACCACCAAAGTTGGTGAAATTGATACAACTAATGGATGGTGCTACATCTCATGTTCAGAGTGCTACTGAAAACTACAGTGTGGATTCACATCTTTCACCTGTGCAGGCTGCAATGACGACAATGCAGTTGTTGTTTCACCTCCTACTTCCAAGAAAGTTCCAATGTCTAAGTGCTGGAAACAGAATTTGGAGACCGATTTACTATCTTTATTTTAAAGTTTGAGTTCAATAATGCAGTAGAGACTTCTCCTGTTAATGGACTCAGTGTGATCTGGTTATAGTCCTTTAATGGTTGAGTTTTAAAAACATAACTTTTTTTTTCCATATATATGGTCTTCCTATTGTTGGGCGAGTTTTTAATACCATAAATCAGCGTAAGATTAAAATCTCCCTATTTATTTGAAGCTGACTGGATTCGTAAATTAAATATCCACATCCATCTATCTATCATGTGTAGTTGCCACACATTTATCCACACATTTGGCTTTTCGGATCAGTGAGAGCTTTGCAATATAACTTTGTCCATCATAAACATTGAACCCATGTCTAAACTTTATTTTCAGATTCTCATTATATAGTTTGGGAAATCAAAGCTTAAATGGAATGGCAGATTTCTAGCGGTCCACATATTTGTTTCTATTATCAAATAATTATGGGCCCAAATAATATAACTCAGTTTCGTTTTAGGAATAATTATAAAATATATTTGTCATTTGATATTTTATTAAAGATCTATAATGAACATTACAAGCTCAAACAAAAGAATCAAAACCTTAAAAAAATTCAACTGTGCCTAATGTTCTTTCGTCTGTTTTCTGTGGTCCGTTTGGATTAACATCTAAACTCAAACCTAACAACTGTCTTATCCTGAAATTCGACAAGGTTTAGTGATGGTAAACGAGAAACAAAAGCATATGAACAAGATCCACCGGATCGTCCACAGAGATGATACAACGTCGAGATAAGCATATATGAAGGTATCACTGGGACCTTCACGCTTTTTCAAGGATAGAAGACATGTCAAATCACCTCTTTGGTCAACAGCAACATAAACATTTTAGTTAGTATTTTAGGTCTTACATTTTGTTAAATTATCTAGCTACTTATATTTTTATAATAAATAATATTTTTATATATTAAAAGAAATATATAAAATATATAATAAAAATTAAACAAAAACCCGGGCTACGCCCGGACCGACCCTAGTTTTACATATAGAAAATGAATAACAAAACAACATTTGTGGCTTCTTAAAAAAAATGGTTGTCACTGACTACAAAAGAAAATGTTATACAAGGATGCTTAGATGTCATTCTCCGCAAATCTTCCTAGAGTTTGTTCTATATCTACAAAACTGGATCAGTAAATCAGAAGTTGCACACACACTTAAGCTGAGACACGGGTTTTGATAGGCTTAAGCTTTAATCCCATGCTCTCAGGAGAGAGAGAAGCTCAGGTGAAATGCAAGAAGGGCTAAGAGGATTTTTAGGGCTCTCTGTGAAACAAGATGGTCTATACAATCCATAACCCATCAAGAAAGATTCCATTGGAACCAAATTTGCATGTGGTTTGGTCCTCTGTTACCATTGAACCACACGCCTGAACCTGAAATTATCCAGAGGTATTGATCAGTGTTGAAACATTCCAATGAGGAAAACGAAAGTTTAAGGCTACGTATTTTATTTCTCAAACCTCAACCAAAGCACATAATCGGAATGTAGCAACAGTAGTGCTGATATAATCTTTAACATGGTTGATCAGGTAAAAACATAATCATTACTAAACAGTTATGAAACAGTTATGAAACATATTCTGAATGATCACAGGTTGGATCTGGGCGTACCAGTGGAGGAAGTGTGGTTCATAATGATCATTACTGCTGGACGCGTCCAGAGGACATTGACTATGACAGGACTGTGAATAGATGTGACGGTGGGTGCTCGGATCTTGCTGCCGAGATGTCAGCGGCTTTAGCCTCTGCATCCATTGTATTCAAGGACAACAGAGACTACTCTAAGAAGCTTGTTCATGGGGCTAAGACGCTCTTTACGTATGCAAATGCTATGGGGCGGTGCTTGGTTGTACTATGCTACTGGAAATATAACCTATCTAGATCAAGTTACCAATCGTGATATGGCAACGCATGCCGGTGCCTTCTGGAGTAGCCCTTACTATGGTGTCCCTAGCTGGGACAACAAACTACCCGGAGCTCAGGTTAGTTCTGTAGTAATGTTATTTTTACCTGACTCTTAAACCACCTAATCTGTTTGCGTTCTGTTATTTATTTTGTTATATTATAAATATATATGGTATTTCTATAATAAAATATGATATATATTTATAAAATTTACACTTTATTGATTTGAACTCTTGTTGAATTGACTAATATGTAAGTGTGTACACTAGAACATTTAAATTAAGATATTCACTAACCGAAACCGAACTGAAACCGAACTGGAACCAAACCGAAACCGAACCAAAATCTCATAAGTATTTATTGGATATAAGAATGATTTATCCGATATACCCCGAACCGAATGGTTCCTATTCGGAACCGAACCGAATATCCGAATGCCCAGGCTTAAAAAGAGTTATCATTCAATAATATTGCTACAAATTAGTTTCTTTAATTCTTTGAACTTATTAAATGTCATGGTAAAATACAGAAAATAGCAATATTTTACAACTTTCTATCTTATTATATAAAGCTTGGTTTTTTCAAATTTGTTAATTAACATGATCATGACATGTGTCAATTAATTAATTAAATTGTTACATGTGTCAAAAATATGTTACAAAATATAGTACTTCTGAATACAAATATTTGTTTAATGAAAAAAATCTGTTAAAAAAGTTTTATTATATAAAGTTTGGTTTTTCAAAATTGTTAATTAACATAATCATGACATGTGTCAATTAATTTATGAAATAGTGGATGTGTGTTAATATAAATAATTATTTGATAGCAATTATATTTTTTCTTAAATTCTAAACAAAAGATAATTGTAAAAGTTTATATGATAATACTTTAATTTTATAAAATCCTAAACAAAGTTTTTTTTAAAAGTTTTTGATAGTATTTTTTATTTTAAATAAAAGGAAAATTTATAAAATATAATTATTTCATTTTTAAAAAATCCTAACAAAAATAAAATTAGCTATTTATAGTATTTAAAAAAATTGATGACAAGTATGATGCTAAAACTATTAAACTAAAAAATCAAAAATAAGGATATTGTTATAACTGATATTTATTAGTGTTTGGTCATACGAAAATCAAACATATATTTGATAGATATATATAGAATTTTTTCCATGTGTGCTCATAAAAAAATTGATTATTATTATTTTCACGATACATGTGTTTAGTTAAAAACAAACCAAGCTTCATCGTTATCTTATTACATTTTTTTCTTTTTACTATGTAGTATTTTCTAATTCATTTTATTAGAGTGTTATTATGAAAATATATCATGAATAAATAATGAATCAATAAAATTATATAACATCAGATAAATTTTATAAAATATTAAATTAGTACATAAGTAAGTGTATAATATTGTCATTGCTTCTTAGGTATATATGTTTTAACTAGCTCTAAATACAAAGATGATAACAATTTATCTATGCACCATGATTATTAAAACCAAATATTAATTGAAACTCATGTGTGAAAACGAGTTCTTAATTATAAAATAATTTCATATAAAATATGAAAAAATAATCTTAAATTATAATAAAATATTTTTAATACTTTTATTAAACTAAAATATCAAATAAATCATGTTGCAACGCACATGCTCAAATCTAGTGTCTTGATATATGTTATTTTAGTTTGTCTATAATATATGTATCTCGATAATATTATTTGAGAAGTCATTTTTCAATGTTTCTCGCTCATGTGTACTCTCACGATGGTTGATTACACTGATAATCTTAACAGATTAAAAATATTACATTTAAATACAACTTTAAAAAAATTATTTTCCTTTAAAAAATTTCCAGATAACATATATCATAAAAAAGGAAACATTTATAAGAAAAAGGAATTTAAAAACGGAAATATATGTATATATAATATGATTTCATTAAAAGGAAAGTTCACAAAATATTAATATTTCATTTCAAATATATTTTTAACTAGCATAATATATACTTTTTAAATTATAAAATACTATATATGTTTTTATTAGATAAAAATATATATTTATATATAATGTTATTTCATAAAACCAAATCACATAAATAATCTTGATATTAAAAACTGAAATATTATTTCCTTGGAAACATGATATTTAACAACACGAAATATTATTTTTCATATATTTAAAGTAATAAAAATATTTTTTATATATCTATCTATTTTCTTAAATGATTACATAATAAATTAAGTAACATAAACTGATATATGTTTAATTGACCAAAAATAGTTAATGAAATAATCTTGGTATTAAAAATGAAATAACATAATATCAAACAACATTAAAAATATATTTTCATATATTCAAAGTAATAAAATATTTTTATATATCTATCTGTTTTCTTGGATGAATACATAAAATAATTAAGTAAAATAAATTAATATATGTTTAATTGACCAAAAATAGTTAATAATTAGTACTATTGAAATCTTTTATTTGTTTTCGTATATTTAATTGACTATAATATCTTTCAATTACAGTACAAAAATATCTATAAATTATATTTTACTGTGATTTCTCAAAAACAATCACAATCTATTTACTACCATTTTAAGAGATATTAAATTTTAAATATAAATTATAGGATGACTAAAAAAATATTAACAAATGGAAGTAAAATATTAACCAACTGATACAATTTAGTTCTTTAGTAAAATTTACATACATGCTTGTGATTTCATTATATTATTGTTATATTAACTGATATAATTTGGAATCAAACACTTTAGTTTATTTTATACTTTATTCTGAGCACAATATCTTAAATTATATATAATTTTCCTAAAATATATTTACATATCTCAGAGAACAACCAACCAAAATGCAAACAAGAAAATAAATCAAAATTGTAATATATTTAGAATAAAAATCTTTTAATTTAGAGAAATAGATGCAATCCAATATACTCAAAGGATAACTAAATCAACTGTAAAAACAACAAAACCGATTAGATATAAAATGTCAAAATCATATGTCGAATTGAAGTAATATAATATTATTAATATAAATAATAAATTAATTTAAAATTAAAAGTAAATAACAATCAGTTATTATAATATATTTACTTTATAAATATCAATACCCATGTATGTGCATGAAACAATTATCTAGTATATATATACACTGTATTAAATTGTTTTAGATTGGATTTCTATTATAATATTGCATTGTTCCATAAATTTACCTAATATGCTTCTAAAACAAGACTTATGATACCAATTACTCTCTCTAAGTTTGTTATTTTTCCACATATGGAAACCAATCTAAAAAACTGAAAATTAATCTTAGTATTTGTGTGTTATGCTCCTTAAATTACAGATTCGGCTCTGTCCAAAGGCTACGGCTTCCCTCAACCTGAAGAAAGCAATCTGAGGAAACAAATCATTCAGTTACGCACAAGGCTTTCTGCAATTTGACAACTTATCCTAAAAGTAAGTTTTCTCCTTCTAATTTCTCTTTCTAATTATAATGTTTCATAATTTTAATTATGGTTTAACATGGTGCAATCGAACAGTGTTTGGAATCTCGAGATTTTTTTTCATTCACTTGAGGGAATTAGTAGAGATACCAATCCGGCCGATCTTCTTGGAGGGAATATCTAGAAGTATATTTTACTGTTTGGTTTAAACTTATCTTAGACATATTTATGTCCTTTGTAAGGGATATTCTTAGACATATTGATATATTTTGTAAGGGATAATTCTATTACTTTCATGATGCTTTTTATTCTAATCGAAACTTAAGCTATATTCCATTGGAATGGTGATTTTTATAACTCATTTCATGAAGCTTTAATAACCCATTTTCATGTGCTCTTCTTTAATAGTAAAGATGTGCCTCTGTTTTCTACATAATCAATTAATAGTTATTTTACAAAAAAATATATTATTTAACGGTTCTTTTATAGGATTTTAGAAAAGTAAAATAACTTCTTATCTTTTTGAAACAACAACATTTTTTTCTAAATCTATTTGAAATATGAAACAAAATAGCTTTGTATACTATTTTTGAAACATGCACAATCTTAAATTATTTATTGACACATGCCGTGATTAGCATATAGCAATTTTTAAAAATCAAACTTTATATAACAAGATTTTTTTTCTAAAATCCTAAACGAAATATAAATGTAAAATTTTGTGTAATAGTAACTTTTATTTTCTGAAATCCTAAAATGTAAATAATATTTTTTTGTAAGAATATTTTTTTTCTTCTAAATCTCTTTAAATTTTAAACATAAGAGATTTGTCACAATCTTAATTTCTATTGAAATATATTATGATCATATTAATTAGGAAATTTGAAGAACTTTATATAATTCGATTATATAAAATTAAGATTTTACTTCATTAATATTTAGTTATATGCGTTTCTATTTCTTAATTTTTATTTTTAATTAAAATATGTTTTTCAGCCAACAACATAGTATATAGAGGAATTATCTTTTTTTTTTAAAATATATATTTTGGGATTCGGAAAAATCACTTTGTAAATAATAATATATTTCACTCTTCGGTCAAATAATTACTTAATATTATTTTCTCTCTCTCTTTTTCATGGGTTAAATTATAATTTCTCTTTTTTTTTTGTGGATCAAATAATAGTTTCTCTCAATTTTATTTTTCTTAAATAATAATCTGATTTATTTTTGTGGGTCAAATAATAATCTGTGTCACTTTTTTTTTCAATGAATAACTTGACTCCTTTTTTATGGGTCAAATAATCATCTCTTTCACTTTTTCAATAAAATAATAACTTACCTTACTTTTATTTTGTGGGTCACATAATAATCTACTTTCTTTTTCGTGGGTCAAATGATAATCTGCATTCTTTTTTTGTAGATCATATAATAGTTTGTCTCCTTTTTTGTGGATCAGATAATAATCTTTATTCTGGTCAAATAAGAACTTTCCTTATTTTATATTTTTTTTGGTCAAATAAGAACTAGCTTATCAAGTTGAAGAAATCTCTATCTCAAAACCTCTATTATAAGAGCCTTGAAAATCTCTCCAGCTTACTCTACCTT